ATAAAAAAGAAAATCTATAATATAAGGATTTCTTTTAGAGGCTTCTAAAGTTTAGAGAAAACAGAATCTGGAAGAATTAGAAAACCTAAGGAAATATCTTGGTTTTTGAATAGAAATGAAAATGGCAATGTTTTAGTGAACTTTGTTCTTAAAGTTTCACCTCTATCCTTTTCATGTGCTAAATTATCTGAGTTTTAGTTAAAGAGGTACTGGGTTGTTAGAAAAGTCATGACAGAACTGTAGTTTTTTCCAGAGCAAAATAACCTTCATCAGGTTGCTGCAAGATGCAACAGAGTTATAATGAGAGGTACTTACTGGGTTGTTAGAAAAGTCATGACTTAGAACTGTAGTTTTTTCCAGAGCAAAATAACCTTCATCAGGTTGCTGCAAGATGCAACAGAGTTATAATGCACTACAAACTACTCTGTAAATATCTGTTAAATCATAGAGCATTATGTGCATGTTAATAGGATAATTTTAAAATTATGTATCTGAAAATTTATCTGTCTAGAGAGCCTTAAGATAACTGAAACTACATCAACTATCCTACCCCCCATTTTTTGGCTACAGGGTGCATATATTCACCAGAGAAAGTGGAGACAGACAGAAAGAAGGACAATGAGAAATTACCCTCAATGGAGGGGGCAGGTAGGGGGAATGGCCATTCTATGTAATCCCTTCTCCTCCAATCTCCTCTCAGGATTCTAGACATGCATCCTTTGTGTCCCTCAAGCTGCCAGGTCTAGACTTTACCCCATAGTTGACCATGTGAGATTCAGCGCCTTATCCACCATGCTATCTGTTGGCCATATTGACTTTTTAACAGAACAGAATAAAGCAGAACATTTTACAGGATTTTCTCTCAAAATTCTACAGAAAGTTGTGATACAGCATAAGCAGTTAGCATTTTGTGAAAACCACCGTAGGCATCAGTGACTTTTAAGACCAGGAAGAAAGACCCATGGATGTTAATTGCTGAAAACTTGTTATAAGGTGATACTAGCAAATCTCCCTAAAACTGGCAGAAGGTGGAAGTCCCTTGTAGCAAGACCTCGAGCATTTATGACATAATTGTAAAAGGCAATAACCTTACACCAGAAAGCATGTTTCCTTAACACTTTTGTCAAAGCAAAAATAAAACGGGGAGATGGGTAGGGTGGTGCAGACATTAGTAAGGAAAGACTTCAAGAGAAATTATAACAGAAGCCAAAGCAAGAAGTGCCTGAGTAAGGGGCAGATGAGCAAGGTGCATGCAGGGACTAGGAAAGGGAAGCGGGGAGAAGGCAGATGGGGTTTTAAAATCTAACTGTGTTGAATGTTGCAATACAGGGAAAAACAAAGGCAGGAAATGCTTGCAGTTAGGCCCAGAGACCTGAGGTGAAGCAAGTGTGTTATAGTGCCGGGAAACTCACAAAAAGTTAGGGCCTTGTTGTCCTATACAATGCAGCCTAAAGCTTTATCAAGCACAAAATATGATCTGCTTCATCACTCCTGATAGAACAAATATCAAATATTATCCATGCCATCTTTCTCAAAACAAGGTATCTAAATTGAAAATAAAACAAAACTAAAACCTCATCTGCTGGTAGTGGTTTAATAATAGTAATAAAAGTGATAGATTCATATTAGACAATGATTTAGGCATGCATTTTATGTATTTATTTACTTACTTACTGCCAGAGGGCACACATACGAGTGAGCGAGAGACAGAGAGAGAGACAGAGAGAGAAAGAAAGAGAGAGAGAGAGAGAAAAAGAACACACCCCTCCCATGGGGCGATGTCATGTCGCAATCCCTTCTCCATCTCCCTCCTTTCAGGATTTCATGCACTCAGTGTGTTTTTCAAGCTGCTGGGTCCAGGACTTGAATCGCATTGTCAACAGTGTAAGATGAAGTTGCTGTAACCACCATGCCGCTGGCTAGCCCTACATACCTTTTTTAACACTAAAGTTTCACATGGGCAGAAGTGTTATTAGCAATTCATTTGCTTTGCAGACATAAAACACCTACTTCAAGAAAGGAACTGTTTTAGATGCCAATATTTTTTCTAATATTATAAACATAATATATACAAAGTTTTAAAAAATATTCTATAAAAGGGAACCAGCAGTTAGCGTAATGGCTATGTCATTGGATTCCCACGTAGTCGACCGCGGTTCACGTCCCGGACCTGGTGGCTTAAAACTCACGCCAGGCGCATGTGCGTGCGTGCCCAAGATCCCGAGGAGAATGGAGGAGAAGGGATTGCGGCGTGACCATCCCCCCTGGGGGGTGATTTCTCACTTTCTGTCTCTATGTCTCTGTCTGTCTGGCGAGCACACGCACCCTATAGCGAAAATCTCTCAAAAAAAAAAATTTTGTAAAATAAATTATGAGTAAAGCTATGAAAATAATGACTTTGGCAAATACAATTTATCAGTTGAAAACACTGATTTCAATTTTAATTTGTACTGTGTATGTTGGATCATTTAACTTACAATTGAGCTATTAAAGAGATGAACAACATGGCTGTCTGTCTGGCGAGCGCACGCACCCTATAGCGAAAATCTCTCCAAACAACATGGGCCAGAAGATGGCATGGTGATTACGTTGCTGGACTCCCATACAACCAACCACAGTTCAAGTTCTGGTGGCTCAAAAATCACACCGGGTGTAAAAAAAAAAAGAAAAAAGAAAAAAGAAACTCATACCAGGTGTGTATGCAGGTGTACCTAAGATTCTAGGAGGAGAGGAGAATGAAGGAGAAGGAATTGCAGCTTGGCCATCCCCCCTGCGCTTGATTTCTCACTTTCTCTCTCATCGTCTCTGACTCTCTCTGGTAAGCTACACGGCCTATGGCAAAAACCTTAAATAAAACAAGATGAATAATAAGTTTATGCTCATTGCCCGAGTAAGCAAGATACATTTCTCTTGGTCAATTATAGGAAAAACTTTTTACTAAGCAAACAAAATACACAGGAATAAAAGAGTAAAAATCTTTCACATAGGAAGCTTCAAGATAGAAAAATTAGTTTAACAGTGATGTGATGTACTGAGTAAATATACAGAAATTTTTCTAGCTTTGCACAAAAATTGCCAACTACAAGGAGATATCATTTAACCCGAGTTAGAATGGCTAGGGTCAAAAAAATGAAAGAACTGGGAACTAGCAGTTAGTGTAATGGCTATGTCGCTGGACTCCCACGTAGTCCACTGCGGTTCGCGTCTCGGACCCAGTGGCTTAGAACTCGCACTGGGCACATGTGCGTGTGCGCCCAAGATCCCGAGAGGAGAATGGAGAAGAAGGGATTGCGGCGTGACCATCCCCCCCTAGGGGTGATTTCTCGCTTTCTGTCTCTATGTCTCTCTCTCTGTCTGTCTGGCGAGCACATGCGCCCATAGCGAAAAAACCTCTCTTAAAAAAAATTAAAGAACAATTATTGTTGGTTAAGCTGTGGTGAAAAGGGAACTCTCTTACACTATTGGAGGGAATTTAAATTAGTGCAACCTCTGTGGAAAACAATATGGAGATTTCTCAAAAACTTACAAATAGAACTCCCATAAGACCCAGCAATCCCTTTTTGGTATCTACTCAAAGGATAAGAAAATGTTCAATCAAAAAGACATCTGTACATCTACATGTATTGCAACCTTATTTATAATTGCTAAAACATGAAATCAACCTAAGTGCCCAAAAACTGATGACTTGGTTGAAAAACTGTGGTACATATATACTATGGAATATTACCGAACTGTAAGAAACAAGATCCTATCATTCGACTCAAAAATAGATGAATATAGGAGATTTAATGTTGAGAGAAGTGAGTCCGATTTTGAAAGACGTACACTGTATATCCCCACTCCATTTGTACTAAACATCTGCACTTTATAGAAGTAACAGAGAGATCTAAAGATGTGATGGTGGAGAGGATGGGTGTGGATACTAGTGACAGAAAGGGGGAAAAGTGGTTGGTAAAGAGTGTGCAAAAAAAAAAAGAAATTTTTAAAAATTCCAGCTACACTTCAGAATCTAGAAACAGGATTTGAGACCAGCACACTTGGTAAGATAGGGCAGCTCACATTAAAAAACAAAACACACACACACACACACACACACACACACACACATAAACTCCAACAACCATTGAGCACAGGGTACTTCTGCTCTGTGGAAATTAAAAAAAAAAAAAGCCACATTAGGTGTGGGATGCAGTGAAGGGAAAGGGCCTGAGGGCGGTTTGTTCTGTAGTTTGCCGTCCACTATGGAGGTGGGAGGTCAAAGACACACAGGGAACGAAGCAGAGTTACATTTTTCCAAGAAAAGAACAGTAAACCCAGCAAGGCTCCCAGCCTCATTAACATGTGTCAGTACCCAAGAAACATAAGCAGTCCCAGATGAGGAGCCCATGAACAACTTTAAATCCCGGAACTGAAGGCTGCAGGGCAGTCGGCCAGAGCACTTTGAAGAAACGGGGGCCCCAGGAGACTAAGCCCAGGGCTGGGCTAGGACCAGGATGTACCTGACGCAGTGCTGTGCTTTGACATGCGGGTGCACTAACACGTAGTTAGAGTAACTGGATGTACTGAGCATTTCAGTCCTACTATAACTCGCCTTCGCTAGGGTGTTATTAACACTTTTATTTTAAAAGGCAAAGATTCTTCCAAGAGCAATGGGTCTGCTGCTACTGTTCCACTGGGCCGGCCTCCAGATGGGCAGGACCAGGGTGACACGGGACGCCAGGCAACGCCGGGATAAGGAGCTACCCAGTCCAGCCCCGCCAGTTCCCGGACAGGGTTTTGTTATCTCTCTTCCGAGATGGGGGTGTCCCCGGAGCGAAGAGCCGGCGGCGGCCGCCGGAGCCCGGGAGCCGACTGGGGCGCGCCCAAGGATCCAGGCGGAGTGAGCACGGCCGGGCGGCACAGCCGGGACCCTCAAGGCCGGCAACCCCCTCCCCAGCCCCGGCGCGCAGGCTCCGCCCCGTCCGGGCCAGACCCGCCTCCAGCCGCAAGGAACCACCTACCGCGCGCCAGCTCCTCGGCGGAGGCCTCCCGACTACCCGCTAGCGACCGCGCCGAGATCGAGCGCCGCAGAAAGAGCGGCCCCTTCCGACTTCCGGAGGAAGCGGAAGCTGCCCCGGAAGTCGCGGGGCGGGGCGAAGGAGGCGCGGTCTCCTAAGCTCATGGCGGCGCTGTTACTCTTATCCGGCCGAATTATGCGGCCTCCGGGAGGCCGGTTTTGGCGTCCCTCGTCTCGCGGTCGCGGGCTTTGGGGCCTGGCGGAGGGCACCGCGAGCGTCTTGCCCAGGTCGTTCTGCGTGCGGCAGGAGGAGGGGCGGCGGACCTTGGGGCTCGCTGGCAGGTGCCTGGGAAGCCGATCCTTCAGCACAAGCATGCCGCCACCCCCGGGGTCCGAGCCGAAGGGCCACGGAGACCCCACGCGCCCCTCGAAGCCCGGGGTGAGTGCACGCCTGGAGCCGCTCCAGGGCTCCGCGCGCTGTCGGTCAGCGGTGGCCTTCCCTTCCTGCTTGGTCCTGACCCAAGGACCGCACTGTCTGGTCTGAAATGCCTTCACCTTGGCGGGCGTACCTGGGTCATGGACTCTCATCACGGTTTCCCCTGGTTTGCAGGTGCTCATCGCCGTCAACAGAGCACTTGAACCTCAGGCTTGGATTTTAAGTTAGCTTTTGCTCAAAACAAACAAACAAACAAACTCAGTGTCATGTTTCCTAAGGATCTAAACATTTCCGTGAGCAGGAGCCTTAGCACTTTTGTCATTTCTGTCATTTGAACCCCCTCAGTTGTTCCGTTTATCCGTGGAGATTGAAACAAAAAATAGGTCTTAGTGTTGTGTAGGTAGGCCTCTTAAATTTCTCGCAGGTTCTAGCTCTGACCCAGAAAGAACTTAGAGCCACTACCGTCTAGTGATAGGCAGGGGAAGTGGGTTTTTGGAACTGGGGGAAGATGAATGAGTTAGACCTAAAGTGACCCACAATTTAGCTCATTAGAGACTTGAAAAAAATTAGGAAGAACTGGATGCAGTTGTAAGAAACCCCACTTTTAGACTTCTCATCTATTTTGGCTTTTTAACTTTTGGAAGCCAGAGTCCAGTCAACCTCTTGAATTTTGTTTGGTTAGTTTATGTTCTCAATATAAGCACAAGCAGATTGTTAATTGTTTTTGAATTTGGGGCCAGGATCACACATAGAAACAGGATCACACGTAGAAATGGTCCTGGTACATAAGCTGCTTTGGGTTGTTTTTCCCATGAATAGAAACTGACTTAGGGAATTTTCTCTTCCTGGAATTAAGTGTCTTTGTAATTGTCTATACTGGGGTACCAGCAAACATTTTCTCATCCCAGAATAGTGTGAAACATTTTGGGCATTTAACAAGATTGTGGCTTGCGTGTATGTATATTAAGAATGACTGTAATAAATACGAAATAGTTCAATGTTTGCACCTTACTGGAATTTTTATCTTTTAAATCTTGTCCCAGTAGCCCGTTTCCTGGAAGTCTTTAGCATTCACATTTGCTATCGGAGGAGCTTTACTGGCTGGAATGAAGTACTTCAAGAAAGAAAAGACAGAGAGTAAGTACATAGCATTTGGTAGTCTTTGAATAACATTCACAGCTATGCCCCAGGATCTTCTTTGCTCTTTTTAAACCTGTTACTTTGAAATAATTTTAAATTTACAGAAGAGCCATGAAGATGGCATGGAGAGTTCCTGTCCCTTCCATTCAACTTCCCACGATGTTAACATCTTAAGCATATTTCCCAACTAGAAAATGTAAATTAGCGTAAAACTTAACTAAACCAGAAGAGTTTATTTGGATTTCACTTGTTTTTCCATCAGTAACTTTGATCTATTTCGGGATCCAATCTAGGGTACCACTAACATTAAAAGACACTGTGGACAGACTTGAATTTGGGCAGTATGAATGAAGTCTGGAGGTTACAAAGATGAATGAGATGCAGTCAGCCCTTAAGGTGCACAGGTCAGGGAAACAGACACAGAAGTAAAGGATTTGACTAGAAGAGGGTCTGCCAGGCCAGAGGGAGGCTTAGAGGTTCTGTCAGGCCAGAGGAAGGAGTAGAATGCTCCAAGAGCCAAGGTAAGGCCCAGCCTTGGAATCTGAGAAGGCTTCCTGGGGTCAGGCATCGGGGAACAATGCAGACCACTGGGTGTCAGCAGAGGGACAGGCCAGAGGCTGGCTGTGGGTGAGGGCGACAGAGAGAGCCTGGCTGGAGAAGGCCAGGAACTGATCTGCTGGGTTAGCATCTTGAAACATTAGGAATTTATGTTTTAAAAAATGTATATTTTAATGACTGTCCCAGAACTTTCAAGATTTGGTTTGGAAGTTTCTCTTAAATCTATTTCAGTTCTTTAGAATCTCTTTTGATGTAATTATACAGAGGGTAATTTTTTAAATCTGGGAGTGAGTATTCTTAGGTTTTAATATATAACTTAACAATGTAAGCTCCCTACTGATAGAAACAGAAACATAACAAGCAGTGTTTTTATTTTATATTAAGATTTTCATATTCTCATAAGCAATAAGTTCTTTAGTTTCACAAAGAAACAAAGCTGACAAGCTAGGAAGTAGTGGCAGAGACATTCCTAGAATACGTAAGCTTCTTTGACTTCATTTGAAATTTCAAATGCAATATTACTATTTGTTTTATTAAGAAAAATAATAATCTTAAAAGTTCCCAAATCATTTGAGAGTATTTGCTAACACGATGCCTCATCTTCAAATACGTGATTGTGTATTTGCTAAGAACAAGATCATTCTCCACTGTAATCACAGTACAGACGTCAAAATCAGGCAGTTAACATTGACGTGTTACTACTGCTCAGTTTTCAGATAGTCAGGTTTTGAACAGAGGTCAGTCTTCAGGTTTTACTACGTGATGTCCTTTGTAGCAGAAGGATCCACCTTGTACGTGCTTGCTGACGCATCCGTCTCCGTCAGGGTGTAACAGTTTTCCCAGTGTGTTGCATTTTCATGACCCTGGCAGCTTCGAAGGGTATAGGCCAATTTTTTTGCAGAATGCCCTTTATTTGGGGTTTACCTGATGTTTCATGATTAGATTCAGGTTTCGTACCTTCAGAAAGAATGTCATAGAATAATACATGGTCTCGTTGCATCTAGTCAGGTGTCACATGGTTTCAAGTTGATCATTTGATCGAGGTAATGTCTAACAGGTTTCTGTACTAAGAGTCACTCTCGTGTAATAGGTGTTTTGTCATGTGTATGTATATATATACACCTCCCCAGCAGCTGTCCCCAGTATACTCAGTCTTAGACATTTTACTCTGAGCCGCTGTGGCCCCAGCATGGCCACACATAACGACTTAGAACTGAATTGTTCCAGAGGAGGAAGAAATATTTTTATCATTTCCTTTTTTGAATAGTGCTTAGTATATACCACAGCATGTACTTATTATTATTTAAAGGTTTTTCGCCATAAGGCAGGTGTGGTCACTGGACAGAGGTAGACAAAGAGAAAAAGTAAGAAATTGCCCCTCACAGAGTATAGCCACACCACAATTCCTTCTCTACTTTTCTCACTGGATTATGAGTACACATGCTCATGCACCTGGCGTGTTTTCCAAGCTGCCAGGTCTGGGACTCAAACCACACACTCAGCCATGTGGAATCCAGCTGCCTTAACCCCCGTGCTGCTACCTGGCTGGCTTTTAAGAGCTGTTTTTCTGCTTATTAAACATGAAGCTATTTCTTCCACATTCTGTGCTTCCATAGTCATTGGTCTAATTCTGACTATTTATCCAGGATTTGAGTCTCTTAGATTGACTTTTTCTTTTTTCCCTCCTGGTTTGTATGTGTCTCTTTAAGAACTAGAGAAGCAGCGACAGCGAAGCATCGGAAAGCCTTTACTCGGGGGACCATTTTCCCTTACAACTCACAGTGGAGAGCCTAAAACTGACAAGGACTACCTGGGTCAGTGGGTGTTGATTTATTTTGGCTTCACTCATTGCCCTGATATCTGTCCAGAAGAACTAGAAAAAATGATTCAAGTCGTGGATGAAATAGGTAAGAAAGTAACCAAAGTATGTATTTACTTAACATCACTACCATGTTCACGTTCTCTTTGTCATCAGGCGGGGTGTTACGGATTTGGTTTCTGAGAGTATAAAGTCTCAGCATTCAGCTCCTTCTTTGCTTCCATTCCTGTGACCACATTCTCCACTCGATGCTGATGTTAAAAGTGTCTGTGTGGCGGGACCAGCAGTTAGCGTAATGACTATGTCACTGGACTCCCACGTAGTCGACCGCGGTTCGCATCCTGGACCCGGTGGCTTAAACTCCCCCCCGGCGCATGTGCGTGCATGCCCAAGATCCCGAGAGGAGAATGGAGGAGAAGGGATTGCAGCGTGGCCATCCCCTGTGGGGGGTGATTTCTTGCTTTCTGTCTCTCTGTCTGGCGAGCGCACGTGCCCTATAGCGAAAACCTCTCAAAAAAAAAAAAAAAATAGTGTCCATGGGACCTGGGTCTCCCTTTACTCTGCTTTGTGTTCCTTCCTACACTGTGGCCTCCATCACTGACCCTGCTGGTGCTTCTCCCGGGTGCCTGTGATGGTTGGACTGGGAAATCTGTGGGTGGTCTGTGACACCCGGCCAGTGTTACCGAGTAGTACACATTGGAAGGAAGGGCCTTTCCTTCTTAAGATGAGTAGTTTCGGGGTATTCAGTCCTTCCCAGTCGTTTACTTTATGCTTTAGTGAGGGGAAAATACTGGATTAACTAGGAGATAAGATACTACAGGATCTGGTCGGGGTAACAACACTTACACACAGCTCCAGTGCAGGGATCTAATAGGATACTTATTTGATGCTACCACAGATAGTGTGTGGATCTCCTTTTCCTAGAAGCTGCCCTGTCCCCTGACCCCTCTCTCTGCCCAGATTTTCAGACAACCCTCTGTTTCTGTGACCCCTCACTGTAGCACTTCTGCACTTTCTAGTCATTGTTCAGTCTTTCCTTAGACCGTAAATATTAATTGGAATTTCCTTTCAGATAGCATCCCATCTCTGCCAAATTTAACTCCACTTTTCATCACGATTGACCCAGAGAGGGACACCAAAGAAGCCATTGCAAATTATGTCAAAGGTATGTTTTGTTGGCCGTGCCTTACGTCTATTTATGTTGCACAGGTTTTGAAAAACCAAATCATCTGAACCTTATGGTGCCTTGTGAAATAGGGTGATTGGCATTATCACCAGTTATACAACAAATAAAAAGATGGAGCTCAGAGCGATGACTGGCTCGTCAGTAAGGATATAGGAAACAGGCTTCTCAGTCCCTGAACTTGGCCTTCACATATCAATTAAGTTACAGAGCCTTGTATTGGGAGTAAAGGACATGTTGCTTCTAATTCTGACCAGATTTATTATGGAGTAAGTGCCATACAGCAAAGCATACGTGTTATAACTGCAGGTTGTACCTTTTGACGTACTTAGGCACTTGTGAAAGCATCATTACTGTCACGAAATTGTGCGGGGCCATGAGCCTCAAGTTTTCTTGTGCCTTTTGTTAAACTTTTGTTAATCCCTCTCTCCCCTCCCCCACCTCCTATCTATGGCAACCACTGAACTGCTCTCCCTCATAGATTAGTTTGCATCTTCTACAAGTTTATGTAAATAGAATTGCATACTTTTTGGAGGTTCATTTATTTCTTCTGTGAGCAAGAGAGAGGCAGAGAGACAGATACAGTACCCCCAACAAGGCCTGATGCCACAGCCTGCTTGCCACCTCACCCAGCCCCAGGTCATGGGCACAGTGTACCCGCTGTATTCAGGCAGGTCGCAGGATGCAGACCCCGAGCCGTCCCACAGGGGTCAGTCTCAGAGTGCCGCGTCTTACCACTACAGCACTGTCTCATCGTGCCCCTGTACTTTTTTCTTTTGTAATGGCTTCTTCTACTCACTGCAATTATTCCGACAGTGATTCATGTCACAGCGTATATCACAGGGCCTTCGTTTTCATTGCTGAGTAAGCAGTCCATTGATGGAAACTCAGAATTTTCTACTTTATTGCTATTACAGATAAAGCTGCAAAAATCATTTATGTACCTTTTTGTGTCCATATGAGCAAATGAAAACTCTTCTAAAAATTCGTGAAGATATGTATTTTGAAAAGCTCTGCGTGGGTTTCACAGTTTTTTGCACCAGAGTACACCTGTACTTTAATTCCACTTTTCCATGAGGTTTTTTAAAGTCCCTCCGTGTACTTCCATTTCTCTAAAGTAAATGCCTAGGACTGGGGTGACTGTATCATATGTAGGTCTGTGTTTAACTTTTCAAGACAGAGACAAACTATTTTCCAAAATGTGCTTCATTTTTTCATTCCTACCAGTAGATATGAGAGTTCAGCTCCTCCACACCCTCACCACACCTGGTATGGTCAGTCTATTATTTTTGGTAAAGATGCTTGATAGGATTTTCTAATTTTTATTTATTTAACTTTTTATTTTTTACTTATTTAGGTATTTATTTTAATTTGACCAGAGAGGGACAGGGAGAGAGAGTGAAAGGAAGGAAGCAAGATGCCAAATCTGGGACTTGAACCACGGTTGGCCACATGGGAGTCCAGCGCCCTTAGCCACTGGCCTCTGGTCAGTCTTTAATGTCTACTAGTCTAATATGTGTTCCGTGATAACTCTCTGAGGTATTAACGTGCATTTCCTAAATGCCTGTTAATTTCAGAGTCTTTCTATGCTCTTACTTGCTATCTATACTGACTTTGAAATGTCTATTCACATCTTTTGATCATTTTATATGGAGTTGTTTGATCTTATATGTACGTATGTATTATTTTCTGGATACAGATCAGATACATAAATTGTAAATATGTTCTGCCAGCTTGTGGCTTGTCATTTTGGTTCTTTACAGTGCCTTTTGAATCAGTTTTTAATTTTAATGAGGTCCAAATTTATCAGTTCATTGTTTTATATATAGTGCTTAGGCTTTGTGTGTAAGAGATCTTTACCTGGACCATCTTCATAATGCAGTGGTGATACGCTGCTGCTAGAGAAGCCAGGGCCACATGGTGTCCATGGTTCCAGTTCGTAGCTCAGTCATCCTGAAACATGTCAGGCTGCTCACAAGCACCCAGCTGGAGGACTAGGAGAAGGGCATGGCAGCATGCCCCGACCTGTAGAGGGCACTCTCCTCTCTCTCGCTCTCTTTCTCTCCCATGTACTATGTCATAAATTAAAAAAAAACAGTTTTTAAAAAACTTAAAAATTGGGGACCAGCGGGTGGTGTGTGGTTAAGGCACTGAATCCCACCTGGCTGACTCTGTGGTTCAAGTCCCAGACCCAGTGGCTTGAAAAACATGCTGGGCCTGTGTGTGTGCATGCCCAGAATTGTGAGAGGAAAATGGAGAAGAAGGGATTGTGGTGTGGCCATCCCCTCCCATGGGGTGACTTCTCACTTTCTCTCTCTTTGTCTCTGATGTAAGCATGTGCCCTATAGCAGAAGTCTTTTTTTTTTTTTTTAATACAGAAGTAAATCTTTGCCCAACATAAGGCTACTAAGGTTTCTTTTTTCTTTTTGAAGTTTAAGAGTTTTTATTGTCTTTATTTAAACAGAATTTATATCCACAGTTTACAGGTTTGTCAGAAATTTGGTCAGTAGCATAGTTATTTCCTAAAGCAATAAAAACTCAGTATTTATGAATTCATTGGTAATACATGACCTCCTATGTTACTGTATATTATACTGACAATTAACTTTTATTACACATTAATCAAATGTAATATTTCCAAACAAGTAGACATCTGAGTTGCTGTACTCACCTGGAATACCAAAGAAAGCCTTATGGTAATTTTCTTCAACAGCACATGCATATAGTAATTGATGATGTATCAATACTACTTGCATTCGGGGTTGATTTTCAAAAATATAAGTTGGTATTTAAAACAATATTTACTGTTATTTCAGCAATTTAATTTTTAAAAAAAGTTTGGATGTGCTGCTAACTCAGGCTTCATTCATTTATGTGTAGAATGGAAAAGAAAGACAAGCCAGCCTGCCTTTTCAGAACCTGAAGAGTTTCCCAGTTTAGAATTAATTAGTCCAAGAAAAGAAAATAGACCTTATATCTTTGGAAGAAGGAACTGCTGTCAGTTGTTGGGCTATCATTTCAATAGGCTAATGAATCCAGTTATTCTAAGTTAACTTCTGCCAGCTCATTTTAAAAGCCAAACAGCACATGCAAAGTATGAATGACTTACCCTTATTCCTGAACTTTGCTATAATTGCTGTTTTGGCATAATTAGTTCATCGTCCAGCCCTTTATTGGAGGTTAAGAGCAGAACTTGATACTGGTATTGATATTATTTGCTGGAAAATAAGATTCAGATGTTTTGACCTGGTATGAACCTAGCTGGTAAGCAAACATGTTCTCACATGACATGATAGAAACTGGAGTACCCATTCAGGACAGTGTTTCTAAACCTCACTGTATCTCAGAACTGCATTTGTGTTTTCTTTTTAAAAATTTTTTGCTATAGGGCACCTGTTTTTACCAGAGAGAAACAGAAAGAGAAAGTGAGAAATCACCCCGAGGGGGAATGGCCATGCCACAATCTCTTCTCCTCTAGTCTCTTCTAGGGATTTCGGGCATACCTGCCCATATGCCTGGTGTGTTTTTCAAGTCACTGGGTCTGAGACTTGAATTGTACAGAGGGCCATGTGGGCTCCAGCCACCTCAACCTCCACGCCACCTGCTGACCCAGAACTACCTGTATTTTTTTTAAAAGCTAAATTAGGGCTGCTCCTACAACACAGTGGTTAGGGGGTCGGATCATCCCTACGTAGCTGACTACATGATTCAAATCCCAGCCCTGGTGGCATGAGAAACATTCTGGCTGTATGTGCCTACATGTCCAAAATCCAGGCAGGAAAGCAAAATGGAGAAGGGTTGTGGCGGGGTCATGACTTATTGAGGGCACTGTCTCCTTCACTCACTCTCTCTGTTGAGTGCATTTTCCTCCCTGAGCAATTAAAAAAGAAAAAAAGAAAGAAAAAATTCAAAAAGCAAAACTGAATTAATATAAAATGTGGTTTAAATGCTTAGAATATATTTTCTCCAGATCTTTATTAGTTAGAAGAGGATTTCATTTGTGTATTACAAAGGAGAATTTTCATTTGTTCTTTGTGAAATGTTTGAGGACTCACAGGATTGAAGAGGAAGTAGGGCTCCTTCACAACTGATACTGTTTTTTGAAATAAAGATGGCTTTGCTTGTTTCTCATTTCTCACTGTCTTTCTTATTTTTTATTTAGAATTTTCTCCCAAACTTGTTGGGTTGACTGGCACCAAAGAAGAGATTGATCAAGTGGCCAGAGCATACAGAGTGTATTACAGCCCTGGCCCCAGGGATGAAGACGAGGACTACATAGTAAGTTCAAGCTCAGGTGTTAGCCTGTGTGCCGGCTCTCAGATTGCAGGTGTTTAAATGGCTTGAAATGACTGACTAGCTTCTGATGTGAAAGAATTTTGGCTATTTGAAGAGATAGTAGAAGTTCTTTCAAAAAAAGATACTTGTTTATATTCACAGTTCTCAATTTTTTTTTTCAAGGTTTTTGTCATAGGGCATATGTGCTTGCCAGTGAGGGACATGGAAAGTGAAAAATCACCCCCCCCCCCCCGGGGTGGGGTGGGGTGGCAGGAGATGGCCTTGCTGCAATCCCGTCTCCATTCTCTTCTCATGATTTTGGGCACGCATGCATGTGCACCTGGCATGAGTTTCAAATCGCTGAGTCTGGGACTCAAACTGTGGTTGGCCATGTGGGGATTCAGTGCCTTAATCTTCATGCTACCTGCTGCCCCCATAGTTTTCATAATTTAATTGCCTGGGTGTTTTGTTGTTGTTTTTTTTCTTTCTAGTGACCCCTAAAATTACGCGGTAGTATAAAATCAGATCCATGGATACGATGTCGGAAATAAAGAGAAGCCATCATTTGGAGCAAAGCTTATTTTAATTTTTCTGTTTTCTTTTTGAGAGGTTTTTGCTATAGGGCATGTGCACTCGCCAGAGAGAGAGATAGAAAACAAGAAATCGCCCACCCACACCCGGGGGATGGCCACACCACAATCCCTTCTCCATTCTCCTCTTGGGATCTTGGGCACGCACGCATACGCACCCAGTGTGAGTTTAAGGCACTGGGTCCAGGACTCGAACCACCGTCAACTACATGGGAGTCCAGCAATATAGCCATTACACCAACTGCTGGTACCAGCTTATTTTAGTTTGAAGATACTGAGTTGGTTCTCTATGTGCCCCCAGTGAAGAAATGTAAGAACTTTGCCCTTCTGAGAATCAGTTTTAGGCCATGGGGAACTGCATTTTTAGGTAAAATGAGAATTCTAAAAGGTAAGAGAAAAAATAAAGGTTGTCAGAGAAAGAAATTCTCTAAAGGTTATTTGCATATCAGCTCTAGGCCTTGCACAGTGAGGCGTTTAGCATATGCTTTTTTACAATGAGTAACAGAATTTCTAACTTGAATTTCTTTTTTTTTTTTTTTTTTTGGAGAGGTTTTTCGCTATAGGGCACGTGTGCTCGCCAGACAGACAGAGAGAGACATAGAGACAGAAAGTGAGAAATCACCCCCCAGGGGGGATAGTCACACCGCAATCCCTTCTCCTCCATTCTCCTCTCGGGATCTTGGGCGCACACGCGCCCGGCGTGAGTTTGAAGCCACCGGGTCCAGGACTCGAACTGCAGTAACCTATATGGGAGTCAGGCAACATAGCCATTACGCTAACTGCTGGTTCCCGTTTTTATTTTATTTTATTTATTTTATATATTTTTTTAAACTTGAATTTCTGTAGCTCTTGGGTTAAGGAGATGTCTTCATGTTTGTCGTCCCCACCCAGAAGTCTAGGGTCGATGCCCAGGTTCCTTTTGCTATCAGTGGTTTCACAATGTAGCAACAACAAAGGACATAAGCACTGCTTCACCCACTCAGTTTTCTTCTCAGAAAGAATTGACATTAAAGGACTAGCCCCGTAGCGCAGCAGTTAAGAAAAACTGTGCATAGGGAGCTGGATCCCACATGGCCGACTACATTTTGAATTCCAGCTACACCGGCTGGAAAAATACTTGGCATGTGTATGTGCACACACATACCCAAAATACCAAAGAAGAGGATTGCAGTGTGCCCACGCCCCACTGAGAGGTGCTTTCTCTCGCTCTTTTTTCTGATGAGTGCATATGCCCCTGACAACTTCCCTTTTTTTTTTTTTTTTTTTTTTTGAGAGAGAGATTTTTACTGTAGGGCGTGTGCGCTCGCCAGACAGACAGAGAGAGACATAGAGACAGAAAGCAAGAAATCACCCCCCGGGGGGATGGTCACACCGCAATCCCTTCTCCTCCATTCTCCTCTCGGGATCTTGGGCACGCACGCACATGCGCCCGGCGTGAGTTTTAAGCCACCGGGTCCGGGACACAAACCACGGTCGACTACGTGGGAGTCCAGCGACATAGCCATTACGCTAACTGCTGGTTCCCACAACTTCCTTTTATCAAAGGTTGCCATTATATTTCAGCTTCATTTCAAGTTTCTTCTCAGTTTTCATACTCTGTTTTTTTCTCTATAATATTGGTTGAACAGAGGGATGAATCATAGCCTTCGCAGCCACAAATTGGTTTTGTAGAAAGACAGATGGCCAGGACCCTGGGTCATTGATTGTCGGTTCCCCATGACCCATCCCAAGAGTGATGTACAGGGGTGACATCTTACCCCGGTGTTTTGTCCTTTTCGAACCCATGTCCTACAGCCTAAATTGAAAGCAGGCTTCTGGCTCCTTTCCATTGACAAAGCTCATACAGTACTCTTACCATCTGGGTCTGGTACCTTAGAGAGTTAGGGAAACTTGGATTCCTGGGAGAAAAAGACAAGAGAGAAATGAGTACTTTCCTTCAGGCCCAAAGTTTTATGAAATAGATGGACCCTACTGTGGTTTCCTCCCGCTGCATTGACAGTGTGAGAAAAGTGAGAGGAGAGCAGAGACAGTGGCCAGGAGAGGGAGCCGAGGAGAAAGAACTTCCTAACCTCCTCGCCCTTTCAGTGAAGATTCCTGTTAACGAGCTCTGAGTTTAACCGATGGGGACAGGAGAGCTGGGCACTGATCATCCTGACTTCCAGCGAATGAGCTGTAGTGCGCTGTGCAAAGATGCATAGTCCTAAGCTAGGCAGCTGTCCTTAGCCTAGTGCCTGGAGCTGGCAACTCTAGGGTCAAAAAGAATATTTAAAAATAAAACCAAACCTGTGAAACTCAAATTTAAAGCATTCCCTCACAATGACAATAAGTATTTTGCTGAATCTAGAGTGCAAGAATGGGGTTTGAGCCAGACTGCTACCAGGCCCAACTAACTATACATACTGTCAACTGTCCTTCCACTTTTCAGGGTAAAATACTCGGAAGCCGTTGATTGTGTAGTCTGCCTTGTCTAGTTGGCCTTGTCTTGGCCAGAAGGCGGTACTTCCATGTTGTCTGCCTGTAACAGTCACGTGCAGCTAGGTGCCAGTGAGATCACAGACACAACAGACAGGTATGGGCCCTCAGATCTGTGCTCAGCCATAAGCCATAATGCAGACATGTAACCAGGATATGGATGTTAATTTTGTAATGTTATAAATGAAAAGGCATGGGCCAGCTGGTGGTGTGGTGGTTAAGGCAGCTGGATTCCACATGGCCGACTGCTCGATTGGAGTCCCAGACCTGGCGGCTTGAGAAACACACACTGGGCAAGTGTGCATGTGTGCCCAAAAATCTCAAAAGGAGGGAGAGTTGAAAGAGAGGAGATTGCAGTAGCATGACCATCCCCCATGAAGAGAGGTTTTCCCCTCTCTCTCCCTCCCTCTCTCTCTTTCTCTCTCTCTCATGAGTACATGCACCCTCAGGCAAAATATAATTAATTAATTAATTTAATTTAATTTAAAAATAAAGTACAGCAAATACATATCTTATAGAGACTTCTTGGACCCTCTGGAATACACGTCAGACACCATTTAAGAAATACTTGTCCTGTCAGTCACCTTAAGAATTTGACCTGTTGATAAGAGTCACCGAATTCATTAGGGTACATTTGCTAAGTCAACCAACAGGGGGAGACATGCTCCAGCTTCTTAGTTCTGCAGTGTTATGACTGCTGTGCCTTCAGGTCACAGATTTCCATCTATAAGTTGCTATGGGAAATTTCTATTCAGATTCAAGACCTGCAAGCAGGGAGGGAGTATCTTAAAGCTTAACTTGGAGATGTAATGAAATGAGGTTTCCTTAATCTCAAACAGCAATAAATGGTAAACTGGCTTTTGAATGGAATCTTTAGACTGGTGGTGTATGTAACTGGTCATGCCACACGCTAAAGATTTCATAGAAAGCCAGATCTGCACATCTTGCATTATATGTATAATATTAGGTTATTCTGTAAGTACTGAGAAATACCTATTTTTAAGAAAGCTTTTTACGTATTTATTTCATCAACAGAAGAGACAGACAACAGGGTCTTGACACCATGATTCACCCCCAACAGCAGCCAGCCCTGGCTCATGGGTTGGCACATCCTGGGTCTACTCAGGGAGGTCTCCAGACTCAAACCTGTAACTTTATAAAGGGAGTCAGTCTCACAGAGCACTGCATTTTACTGCCCTGCCACCATCTGACTCCAGAAAATACTTTGAAAAAAGAACACAAATCACTTTTAAACCTGAGAAAAGATGCTCAGTTTCATAATTTAAAAAAAAAAAAAAGTGAATTGTATAATGAGATGCCAGTTTTCACCCATTAGTTCAAAAGTGGTGAGAGAGTTTGAAAATGTTATTGCCAAATATAGTGTCAAAACTGGAAAAACCTAGGAAATACACTGTCGGAGTGAATTTGGAACTCATACACCCTCTTCAGAGGGCCATTCTGCAGTATCGCTCAAGATTTCATCTGACTTCTTAGGCCTGACAGTCGACGTTCTGGAATTGATCCTACAGATACATTCTATAGCCTTGTTTCTAAAGAGACTGAAAGGCAAGCAAGTACTTTTTAAAAAGCTACTCTGTATGCAATGAGAACAATGTCCAAAATATTGTTAAATGAGAAGGCAAGGAAGGTGCTTGTTACTTGTGCATAAAACAAAAATGTAGTAGTGGAGATATTTACATAGGTAGAAGAATATTTTATTACCTACTAAAAAGTAATTTATACCCAGGACAGCTGAAAAATAAGTCCAACACACTGCAGTTCTGATTTTGAATAGGAGAGTGAGAATAGGAAAAATAATAGAAAATAGGAAGAAATGGGGGGAAGAGAGATAAAGGCTAGGGTAAGGCTTGAAGGGCGGCGTGCAGACCGCTCGCTGGCTTCTCTCAGTACAGGTCCCCTGTCACGCCCCGGTAGCTGATTGTGCCACGACACCCCAGCTGCTGGGGCTCCTCTGTGTACATTCTTTCCATATGTGAGTAGCAAGTGACTTTCCATTTGCTCTCTCCTTATGAATGTGTGTATATAAAAAATAATCTCCCAGACCGATAGCGTGCGGGGTATACTGGGAGGAGTGTCTCCAGTCTGGTATGTGTGATCACATTCCTGTCTTTTTTCTATCTTGCCAAATAGCAGTTGCGCCACCAATGAATTCCAAGGACTCAGTGCCAGGACTTCTCATTTAAAATTGGATTTTGCGGAAGCATCTAAAAAAAATAATAATAATGCCTGATCTAAACTTTTAAGTTAGAGTCTGAAACATTTTAGAACTTTGCCAGGAAAATGGGTGACAGATTGAAGATGACGTAAGAACGTATGTAGCGTTCATTGCTCCTGAGAAGGTTCCAGGTGCTTTCAGTGTGGTATGTGCAAATTCCTAAGAGGGTAAAATGGGTCGTTCTGCTTCTGTTTGAATTACCAACATTGGGACTAAGTATTGTGTTCAAGTTTGTAGTTTATATAATCAAACTGGTGGTTAGTTTCCTAGTTTCTGCTTACAAAACATAAGCTGAATTTAGTCAGTAATGAATGAGAATCAGTTCTTTCTAAAACATAAAGCTACTCTTTTATGAATATACCCAAGGACTCATTTAAGAAAATAATTTCTCACCAACGCTTACTTCCAGACATCTCTATAACATGGTTAAGGGGTCAAATACGATGTTTTACCAAAACGCGAGTTTGGCCAGCCCCATGGTTTAGTGGTTAAGGGAAGGATCCCACATGGCCAAGTGCACAGTTCAAATCCTGGCCAGGCAGCTTGGAAATCATGCTGGGTGTGTGTGCATGCATGTCCAAAGTCCTGACAGGTTGGAGAAATGAAGCACAAGGTATTGTAACATATGCTCTTTTTGGGGTTACTTTCTCCCTCTCCTTCTGCCTCTTCATCTCTCTTTTCTCTCCCTGGCAATAGAATTAAAAATAAATAAGTAAATAAAAATAAGGTCTTTACAAACAAGCACTACTGTTCCACAGGTGTTCACTGTTTTACGAAAGCCAGCAGCAGCCACTTCTTAGAAGGTGAATTCTTTTCCCAGGGATTGGGGTAGCTGTGAGATATTAATGATAAGCTTTGAACCGACATACTTCCAAGATCTGTCTGATGCGACCAACAACCGGCAGTACAAATTGCAAATTTCTGGAACATAGATTTTACACAATCTATGGCTATGAATTTTCCATCATATGCTCAAATAATAGGTACTACAAAGGTTATTTAAATATGAATGTGAAGTCCCCTTATCCTGCAACATTTATTCAGTAAAATAAGTGCCTTGGGCCAGTAGATGGTGAGCTGGTTAAGGCACTGAATCCATGGCTGTGTGCAGTTTGAGTCCCAGACCTGGCGGCTTGAAAACTGCACTGAACACATGTGAGTGTGTGCTCAAATCCTGAGAGGAGAAGAGATTGCCATGTGGCCATACCCCCCGAGTGATTTCTCACTTTCCCTTTCTCTCTCTCTCTCTCTCTAGAGAGCACATGTGTCCTATAACAGAAAAACTGAAAAAAAAGGAAAGAAAGAACTTATTTTGGTAATCTATTCATTTTACCTTTTCTGTTACTTCTTTTCTTTTCAGGTGGACCATACAATAATAATGTACTTGATTGGACCAGATGGTGAGTTTCTAGATTATTTTGGCCAGAACAAGAAGAATGCAGAGATAGCTGGTTCAATCGCTGCGCACATGAGGGCCCACCGGAAGAAGAGCTAGCCGAAGCAGCAACGCCAGGTGTGGTATTCTCTTGCCAAAGAGGAAAGCAGCTTTGTCTCCTGTAGGAGCCTCTGGAAAGAGATGTATCTATTAATATATTCAGCCTACAGAATGCCTTCATACCAGGAGAACCTCTGTATTTGAATGGGGCCGTCACCCTTGGGTTCAGCCAAGATGGATTGTTGGAACTGACAGAACCAGAAGTTGCCACACAGCTGCCATGAGACCAAGGACCAAGTGAAAGTGAAGCCAGTAAAGAGAACCTCACGGCAAGGAGAGACTTAGCCGGCGTGTACCCCCCAGCCTACCATGGACCCTCTGAGCGGTGCCTTGCACCCCCACTCCACAGCAGTGCGACTTCCAGAGTGTTCTTACTTTCTCTTGCGTCTGCTGCTCTTCCTTTTTTCCGAGTTCAGCCACGTGAGACTCTGCCATTCCGAGTTCCACTTTGTACTTGAAGCCCAGCGCAGTCTTCCTGTTACCAAGTAGCACGGTTGGGTTTGCAGTTCATTTCCTGTCAGCAGGGATTCATTGGACTAATGAAGAAATGTGTTGTTAGAGAAAGCTATTTTGTTCCTTCGGGAATCTTTTCTGTGATTTTTAACTAAATGATGTGCCAGATTTTCAGAGACACACTAGATGAAAATAAGAGGATATAGATCACAAGTGATAGAGTGTTTTTCTGTATCTACTGGATTGTACTGCTCTGCTTGTAAAATAAAGGTGTATTGAGTTTTGCTACTCTGACAATAATGAGGTCATTATTGTGGGTGAAGAAGGGGTGCTGAGGTGGGGTAGGATGGGGTAGGACATTTTTTAGGATGGAGATCCACAGACTCAAGGGGGCAGGTGGGTGGGTATTTGTTGAGGTATAGGCTTCCAGGCCCAGAGCCGAATCAGCTGCGTCTGGGGTCAGCTCTGTAACAGACATTCTGGGTAATTCAAGTGCTGGGTCTAGGGACCACGCCTTGAGAGATGGTGTTTTGTGTGGGAAATAATAACAACTTGATCCGTCTTTAGATGCATCAGTTAAAAGTGCTGTGCACGTGTTAGCCAACTCAGGAAAATGGTGGTGGGTGATGGGCTACATTGTCGCCTTTGTCTTTCCGAAGCTGCTGCCTTTGGGCAAAGGTCACTGGAAGGTTTTCATTCAACCCTAAGCTGTAAGAACTATAATGCCTAGCCAGACAACAAGAGTCTCTGTACATCAGTTATGTTTTTAAGTACACATAATAGAGGTATAGCTTTCTTTTTTAATTTCTCAGTACCTGTATTAAGTCTTAATAAATATTTATAAATATCAAAATGAAAGTATGTGAAAAAGAAAATCAAACTCCATAGCTGTTACCAACTGAATTGTACCTTTCAAAATTCATATATTAAAGTCCTGACCCCAGTACTTCAGAATGTGACTACATTAGGAGGTAGGGGCCTTAACGAGGTCATTACAATGAGGCTGTTAGGATAGGCCTTACTCCCAATGTGACTGCAGTTCTTACTAGGATATTAGAACACAGAGATGCACAGGAGATGACCACCTGCAGCCCTGTTGGCAACACCTTACTCCGGGACACCTTGCCTCAAGAACTGAGAAAATAAGTTTCTGTTGATTAAGCCACCTAGTCTGGTATTTTGTTCAGAAAGCCTTAGTAAACCTGTACAGTAGCCATTCTTGTGTTTTTGATAGGTTCCTTATAAAGTGGGAGATGATTTGAAAATTTCATTTCCTATATTTATGTGAGTGGAGCTAATGTGAACCGAGTAAACTAGTTTAAAATTATAAATGCATCTGCATAAGACATTTTAAAAATAAATTTTAATACCTTTAGAACTTAAGTAATTTTCTATTTCTAAAATGTATTTTTATTTTTGAGAGATTGTTGCTATAGGCCACGTGTGCCCTCTGGAAAGACAGAGACAGAAAGTGAAAAATCACCCACTAGGGAGGATGGCCACACCGCAATCCCTTCTCCATTCTCCTCGTGGGATCTTGGGCACGCACATACATGTGCAGGGCATGAGTCTGAAGCTGCTGGGTCTGGGACTCAAACCATGGTCGACTGTGGGAGTCCAGAAACATGACCATTAAACCATCTACTGGTCCCTAAAAGGGAGTAATTTTTTAAATTGTGATTTCTGGTTTATTTTAAAAAATAAAATGTCTCAAGCAGATGTATTTATCATTTCAAATCATTTCACCGAGTTGACATTAGCCCAACTCACATAGGTATCTTACTGGCTGGCTGTGTATGTCAGCTCTTGGACCGAAGGTGTCAGCTGCTTCATGAACAAGCAGAGACACTGAGCACTTTCATGCCTACTGCACCAACAGGATTGTCATAATTCTCAAATTAACAAATGGCATATCTTAGTATATTGATTTCATTGGTAAAAACAATGAAAACACTTTAAGCCACTTAGGTAATTATCCGCAAGGCATACTCTGTTGAAAGGCAGCCCTAACTTTTCTCAAGATGCACAAATGCAAGGCTGTCCCACTGCCGCCCAGCATCCCCGTTCTTGCTGGAACCCCATGGTCACCATAAGCACACTGCAGCAGCAGGACAGACAAGGACCTGCCTAGAAATCAAGCCCAAGTTTTATACTTTAATAACCTGGAAATGTCTCCTCACTCATTAAAAAAAAAAAAAAAAAAAAAAA